AGCAATATGGCCTTGAAGGCACAGGGCTCTGTTTCGGTATGTGGTTAGCTTCTTCGGTACATTAACCCGGAACGCCGGCTCAAATTAACGGTAATCGGTGAATGTTTTGGGGTTGTCTGTCCATCCAGTCTATTCTTGTGAAAGCGATATCACAGGAACACCTGGGTGGCATTTCTTCAACTTCCATCCACCTGGATTTGATGGTGAAAAGGTCAAAGGTCACTGCGCTCTCACAAAACATGTTTACTGGCCATAACGCAAGAATTCACCTGTTAATTATGACAATTTCACACAAATGTCTGACAGGATAAAATGATGAGGCGATGAATGTACACCGGCTGGCCTTAAACAATGAAGTTCCCCTCATGTTTGCGTCGGGAACGAGAGCAATGTGTGAAGTGCAGAAGTCAGATATGAGGAGAGCAAATGGCTCATGTGGACCGGAAGGTGTTTGTTAGAAATCGATTAGAGGAGAAAAGAAGAAGGGAAGGGAGTGTTGAGATCGAGAGGAGGGAAAGGGGAGAGGATGAAGAAAGGAAGAGAGAGGATGAGAAAAAAAGATAGAGGTAGAAAGGCGGGAAAAGAGAGGGCACAAAATGAAAGGGGGGGAAACAGAAAGTACAAGATTTGGAAGAGCTGAAGTTGCAGAAACACAACATCGCAAAGAGGGACTGAACAGGGATGCCTGTGAGTGTGGACAGCGTATTCTAGGAACAAAGGTCGTGACACTTCTACAGTGTGAAATTTGAATTTCAAGCAGGCCTTAACAGAACCATTGAGATGTTCTAATCCGGGGATTAAATAATATCAAACTGCAACTTCCACAATGGATGCATTCAAATGAATAATAGAGTAAATATATGTTATTCTTCACACATGTACACTGAATCGCTCTCAGACTGGCGGGCCCGTTTCTCACACTAATAACATACCAAGGCTGCTACCTCACCCCCCAGTTATCCCTCTCAGAGCCCACAGCTCTTAAGCCATGCGTTGAGAGCAGAGAGCTGTGCATTATCCATTAGCACTGCTGCTTCTGACTTTGTTGGATCAAAGAGCGTGTCAAAGAGCTGGAGAAGCCAGAGCTGCTGTGGCAGAGCGAAAAGAAACGTGACACGGAGGAAGAGGACAGAGGGCTGGTCGGACGGACATGAGGAGGGAAGAGGGCAGGGAAAGGGATGGAGGAAGGGCGGGGGGGGGCTGCTCCAGTGTTTACTTTTCTATTTGTTAAGAACATTTTAGACATGCAACGGGCAGTATGAAACTGGAGCAAGTCAGAACAAGCTAGGTGTGGGTCTTTTGTCTCTTTCGATGATATTTGGTTTCAAACCTGTCTGATCTTCTAGTTTTTTTAAGACACTTTGAGACCCGGGGGACCAACAAAGATGCAAGAACAACAGTGGAGGTTCAGAAAGGGAAGCGCAGGGAACGAGCTTGTCAAGGTGAAGACAAACGGGAAGGTGTTTGTTGGAAAATCAATTAGAGGAGAAAAGAAAGGGGGGAGGAAGTGTTGAGATCGAGGGAAGGGAAAGTGGAGAGGATGAAGAAAGGAAGAGAGAGGAAGGTTAGGAGAAATTGGAGAGAGAATCAAGAACGAAAGAGATGAAAAGATAGAGGGAAAGAAAAAATGGCAGGAAAAGAGAGAAAATTAAAGTACAAGATTTGGAAGAGCTGAAGTTGCAGAAACACGACGTAGCAAAGAGAGACGTGAACAGGGATGAGAGCTGGATGAGTTGAGATGGGTGGAGGTCTGTTAGTAGGAAGTTTGTGCGTAAGCGTTGGCCCAGGGAGATGGAATCTGGCTTGGTGTGTTTGCTCTGGCTTAGCGACCGCCCCTCAGCTGGCCCCTTGACTGGTCACTGGGAGAGAGGGATGAACAGAGGAATGAATGGAGGAGAGGAGGGAGAGATTAGAAAGAGATATAGCAACCCAGGTGTCTCCTGATTCACGCTGTAATCAGAAATAAAAGCAGTTAAGGGTTTAAAACTCTTGTTTCAACAAGTTTAAATTTGAAGTGATGTGGACTACTTCCAGGATTAAGGAGAAACTGGAACCAGTAGATAATTCCAGAAGGTTTTTATTTGTCTCATGAGGAGTTTAAATGCTGAATTAATTGGAATTTTCCAACAGTACCTCCAGATTTCATCATGACTTTTGCGCCGTGGTTTTCATCGAATGTCTGGCAAAGCGGGAAATGATGCGTTCACTGACCCGCTGATGGGCAGTACTCGCCGAACTTTCCCAATTTACATAGTCCTCGCTTGGTAGAAAAATACTCATGGAACAATACATTTCACCATCGTCATGGCTTTCTGAGGCCCTAAAGCACACATGCAGCGTTACCCATTTCTGAATGATAACGTGATGCCGTGCTCTGGGAGATGGAGAAATGTTGAACTGTCATCACATTCTGCACTCTAAATGTTTTTTATGCCACACAGCTGTTCTAAAAAACTTGCTCTTTGAGGTCAGACCGTCTCGCAGTTGCGCAAAAGTGTCAATGAGGTCTGGAGCAGGCGCCTGTGTTTTAGTAAATGCAGGCGCACGCAAACAAACAAGCAAATACATTGAAAAAAATCTCAGGATCCCACGGGAATTCATGTCAGGAAAGGGGAATATTCAACCCTGCATCCAACTGTGGACATGTGTTATGCAAAATACCAGTGCTGCTATCTGTAAAGAGACATTTGACCGGGACAGGAAGTAGGGTAATTGCTTGCTTGCCATGACAGTTGGATATTTAGCTTACAAGAATGACAGGAGCAGGGCACAGCATGCAAAGGGCCGAGAAATCAAGCCCGGCCCTGTTCTAAAGAACACAGACCCGATGAAAAAGCATATTTGTGTCATGGCAGATGAGTTTCACATGTCGCTGCAGAGTCAAGCCCCCTGTCTTTATAAACCTTGACTTTTAGATGTGCTATCTAAACACAACGCATTGTTTCGCATTGTGCTCTGATTTAAGAAAGAAAAAAACTGAAAAATAGAATGAAACTGATCTGCATCAGCCAGAGGGAACTAAAAAATTAGAGCCCGGCTCCAAACTATCTGGTTGTGAATTGGGTTCAGGCAGGCAATTAAAAAGAAAGAATAATAACCACAACACAGGATACGATTTGAGATTCAATTCCTGACAGAAATGGAAAAAAAACATTAATTCTGTGAGTGAGTCTCACAGGAACATTGTCCAACTAGTCGTTTGATAGCCGGACCTGAACCCTGTTTCCTGCGACTTCTGTCCAACGAGGAGAGTCTGGATTTAGCTCATTATCTGTTCCTCTGGCTTCCTGTTGATGTCTGTAGCTATGTACGAGCATCGGTAGGAGACTGGGCTAGATTGCTTGAGAAAGACTAAAGAAAGAAAGATTAACAGTACAACACACAAACACCCACACACGCACTGTGGTGACACACCCACAGGTTCAGGGCCTGTGCAACTTCCCCTTTGTGCACAATGAGATATACAAAAGCCCTTGCCCTTTTCCTGTATCCAAATAAACAGTCCAAAAAAGGGCTATGTTGCGGGAACACTGCTTTGTGTGTGTGTGTGTGTGTGTGTGTGTGTGTGTGTGTGTGTGTGTGT